TAGAGAAAAGGATTATGGTACATGGGAACCCTGGCACTTAATATCCCCTTGAATTCCTCCTTGTCTTTTCTGGCTGACTGTGGTGGGTAGCCTGATGTGCACCTGTGGGTGTTTGGCTGGCTCCATCACTCCTTGGGCCTCTGCAACAGTAAGCAGCAAATGCAGGTAGGCTGCTGGTACCCTGCCTTGCACTGGTCTTGCGTCTGTATCTCCAAGCTTAAAGTCAGTGCGTGCTGCAAAGATCACACCATGACTGCTTGTTGTGGGGGACCCTGAACTCTACTGAGAGAAGCATAACATGTCACCGTATGGCATGCCTGTCAATTCTCTCCCTGTTGTCTTTACTGTGAAGAAGATGGTACTTGTGCAGGTAAGTATATTCTTTGCAGACACATTTTCCAAGCAAAGAAATACAAACAAGAAGCAACAGCCTTGACTGAGACATATTAAGGGGGATGTAGGCAGGATGCAATGAACCCAAGCACGGACCACTTCATGAGGACAATGGACTCCAAAACCTTTATTTCAAAAGCAATTTGTAAATCTGTAGGTTTAATAAATGTATAGTCCCTTGTTCTTGCTGCACAAAGGAGACTGATCTCTTGAACACAGACTTGTGTGCTTGGGGTTTTGTGTGAGTGAGTGAGATATAAGAGAATGAGTGTGAGAGTGTGGAATCAATTTGCATAGAGTTGGGAGCAGTAAAATTTTCTTTGCCTTTTGTAAGAGATGGTATCTCTTCCTGCAGAAGAAGGCTTGGTTACACTCTTACAAGCTCAGTCTGCTTAAGCTTAGCTGTCACTTCCTTACGTTGCCAATGGCCATTCATAACCAGAGTGCAGTACAGACTATGTGTTCTGTCGTCCAACTGTACTGTTCCAGAAACCTAACCACGATGACCTTCAGAAGCTTCAGGAAGAAAAATGTACACAAGGCAGTTGTCAAAATGCTTACCCAATATGGGTGAATCTCTGGGATTCTCAGTTTTTTGTAACCTACAGATCATTGGCAGCCTGCATGCTGTTTCCAATTACTACATCATAGTGAGCAGTGTAGAATAGCAAAAAAATAATATGAAAACGTAATGCTTTTAGCTGAGACTCACAGGAACAGAGCGTAGTAATTTGCTGTGCCCTTCACCTGATGCCATACCCTTGCTGTGCTTCTAGGAATAAATGCACGGATCTTTAAATAAAAGTAAATAATGGATAATGTCTCAGATGGTATTCCTATAAGTGAATGCCTGTCCTGGTTTATGACTTTAATTTAGTTTCTTGCGAACTAATTGCTGTGTAGAAAAGCTTCATGCCTCATACCCAGCTCATCTCAAAGTCATTTATTTCTGTGGCTAATTTTTAAATAATAATGTGGTCCTGTAATGCAATTTCTGGTGTTTTTTGTTTTTTTTTTTTAATGTCATCTTTCAGTTCTGTTTATAAACAAGCTCACTTGGTTCCTGTATATGAATGGAATGTTGGGGGAGCAAATTACATCTCTCATTGTCGTTAACTCCTGCAGAGTTATCTGGCTAGGCACCAGCTCAGGGCCTGAAATATTTGTTGGAGGCAAATTCTATTTAGATGTGCAATTCCTGAACTTAATTTTGTTGTAATTTTAGAAAACATTACTCATCTGAAATTAATATATGCAGCGTAGCCAGTCATAAATGTTTTTATAAATTAAGAATGGAGCGTGGGGATAAAGCACTGCAATTAGCTTTAAATTATGATTACTTTCCTCTTTTTATAACTTGGTTTTTATTTTATCTTATTTTTAGTTTCTTTTCTCATTATTAAGATTATGGAAATTTTATTAAACCATAATTCTGAAATATTTAATTTTTTCATTGCTTTTGTTTTTAAAGCTAGGATTTTCATTAATTCCTATGAATGCAACAGATACACTGTAAAATAGAATATCAGATAATGGCAGGATTTCTGGCAAAGGCCACAACAGTTCAGTGCATATGACATTAAGAAAACTCTGATATACAAAGATAGGAGTCAGAATGAAAAGTAAAAAGCTTTATTCCACTTTATCCAGTCTGGATTACAAGATCTTTTCACAGTCCAGTGAGCACTGAGTGACATCTGGAGAGAATGCTGAAATATGCTCTTTTAACATCACAGTCTTTCAGGGTGAAGAAAAAAAAGCATGCAAGGGTCAGCCCAGCAACCCTTCCAGGAGGGCAGCTGGAGCAGTAGGTTTGTTTTAGGCACATGGTGCTTTGATGCTGCACTACCAGCTGGCTCGTGCCCACTCCTTCCTCACCTGGGAACATAGAAGATGTCTGCTGCTCAGGGAAAACACATCTGGTTCCTCTTCCTCACTTTCCTTCTGTCTCAAACTACAGTTTGATCACAAAACCTGGCATTGTCTGTCTTATGAAATTGTGTTGTTTCAGTCCAGCAGACGAGGCCTGTCTGTCATTCAATCAATTATCCAGTTATTCGGGTTCATAGTCAAGTGCAGTCTTGGAAAAAGGTTATTTCTCGATGTGATTCTTATATTGTTTTCATTCAGCATTCTTTGGAAAGCATCAGAGATCAGTGCAGAGTGGTGTTAATTGCAGCACTATTAAAAATTCAGGTATAACACAGGGCTTACTGCAACAAAAAGAAAAAATAAAAATATTGATTTTTTGTTTTGAACTTTTATGGCTTGGGTCTCTATATATCACAGTTCTTATCCTCCAGAAAAAAAAAATGTAATGTGTGTCATGTCAGTGGAACTCAGTAATAAAAGGTGAATAAAGATGAAATAGCTCCTGCCAAGAGGTGTAATTAAGTCTCCAATCTTCAGCTATGTAGAGAAGAAAAACTATTTGCACTTACATAAAGGAAATGGTATGAAGTGTTTTGTGTTTTAGTCTGACTGTAAGTGCTTAATTTAGTTTTGACTGACATTGCCATGTTCCTAATTTAATGACTGAGCACTGATCTGTTCTCAAAGAGACCAATGCATGGCTGGTTGTTATATTCAGGTAGCAGGATCCTGAATCAGGGAAATTTGAACGTCTGATTCAGACCTTCTAAGCAACACTGTGCCCTCAAAGCTGTAGGCTGTTACCAACAAAAGCACATCTCATCTGCCACCTCATCAAAATGGGAGTGCTGTGCCCTCATTTACCATCAGAAGTAGCACAGGAGTAATATAATGTTTCTGTAGAGCACGCAGCTGGGAGGAGAGAATTTCTGTTAGCCTAGACTGCTTTCTGTTAGTCCATGATGGTCTAATCTGAAATGCACAACTAGATCCATATCAGTTTACTGAGGTTGAAGTTTCAAATATGAAATCTGGATTTTTGCCTTAGGTACCCTGGGTACCTACGTGAGATAAATGTTTTTGATAGCAAGATGCTCTTTAGTCAAGCAGATAAAAGCATGGAAAGAGGCAATGCTAAGAAAGTGAAGATAAATACGTGTGGACTAGGAGCAAAATACTGCAGAAGATCCTTTGTTCTTGAGTCTGTAATTCAGAGCCTGCTATTTATTTTTTATTTATATCTTGAGGTATGTGTTTAATGCAGAAGTTATGGCCGAGGGCCTTCAAGAGCAGTGCAGTAATATATTATGTAGAAAATCAGATAAGATAAGAAATGATCAAAATGTCTTTCCGTTGCCTCAGAAATAGGTAGTCTGGCCTTAAAATAAATTTAAAGCTAGACTCTGGAACTGTGTAATTCAAATGAATTCAGTGAAGCTGTGTCCTTTAGCAGCTGTAAAGATATTTACTTTGTAGCTTTTACTTCCCAGTAATACAAAGGAAATAAATTAGTATGTTTATATAATAATAATAAAAAAAGATATTTTCTTCAACAAAAGTTGTCTTATCCTCGTGCTCTTTTGCATTTTCCTCTTCTCTTCCCTTGAGTGATAGGTTCTCCTATCCCAGCAAGCAATGCGTCCACTGGGTCCTTTGCCATACCCAGCTCTGCACAAAGTATCTGTGAATTGTTGTCAGGATGGCAGGAATAGCTGCACCTGCAGCCAGCTAATGAGAAAATGAATGATGGAACTGTGGGGGAAAAGAGAAATGTTTTGTCTGTGGGAAATATCCTGCATGTGTGGGTGGTGTTTCGCTCAGGTACTGGAACAGACCACTACTACCCCCAGGTGAGTGTCTGACTCATCTCCATCTCAAATGTGGAAAGGAGATCTAGGAGAAGCTGATAGTTAAAGTGGCAAAACACAGAATCATAGAAATCATAGAATCATAGAATGGTTTGGGTTGGAAGGGTCCTTTAAGATCACCTAGTTCCAACTCCCTGCTATAGGCAGTGACACCTCCCTCTAGACCAGGTTGCTCAAAGCCCCATCCAGCCTGGTCTTGAATGCTTCCAGGGAGGAAAATATTAAACAGAAACATGAATTACAGCCTTTTTTTTTTTTTTTTTCTTTTTTTTTCCCCCGTGGTCTCCAAGGCTCATTGTTAACGTAATTCAATTTTTGACTCATTATGTGATTTATATGTAAACAAAGTTACAGCTCTCCATATCAGACTCATGCTGAGAGTTGTCTGATTTTGCCCTATATGTGTGGACAGAACTAAAGATATGTCTAGATGTTGGAGCAGAGAGTTGAAAGCTGCTTTCTTTTTTGGGCCCCCAGTCTTGAATATAAAGCTTTTTTTATCTATAAAAAATGCAGTATTTGAAAATGCTCATGAATGTTACAAACTGAATATATCTTAGCAAGGGAATATTTCTACAATTTTTTCAGTTCATGAAGAAACTGGATTACCTTGGTTAATACCAGAGCATGTAATTCTTTGTAAATTTCTCTGTAAAAGGAGTAGCCTATTAGCATGAAGACCTTACATTTTAAGCTAAATACAAGTTAAACAAACTTTCATGATGGACAGGGAGGATTTAAACAGAAGAACAGTTCTCACTGCTGCTTCAAATAATGCTATAATCAGGAAAATGTCTTATTTCTTTGGACTTAAAGTGGCTACCATGTAAAATAATGGAAGTAATTGCCTAAATTAATTCACTGCAGGCATCGTGTCCCTGATCTCCCTGGCTGTCCTGTCCTACGAACGCTACAGCACCCTCACCCTGTGTCACAAGCGCAGCGATGACTATCGGAAGGCATTGCTGGCAGTTGGCGGTTCCTGGCTTTATTCCTTGCTCTGGACTGTGCCACCTCTGCTTGGATGGAGCAGTTATGGGATAGAAGGTGCAGGCACCAGCTGTTCGGTGCGTTGGTCCTCTGAGTCAGCTGAGTCCACATCCTATATCATCTGTCTCTTCATATTCTGCTTGGTCATCCCTGTAATGGTCATGATGTACTGCTATGGTCGGCTCCTTTATGCTGTCAAACAGGTAAGCTGCTCTATGCTGATAGTGCAAACTGCTTTGAGAAATATGTTTAATTTTTCCTTGATTGATTTGGAAGTAGTAGATGGTAGACAGCAAAACAACAAAACAAAACTAAATAGAAAAGACCACAGAAAGTCTGAAGGACAGGGAAAGAGAGTCTTCAGCAAGATCCTCTTTAGTCCTGAAGCTGCAAACAGAACCACCAGACAGCATCCATAAAGATTCTGACTTTGTGATTTGGAAATATTGCGTCCTACCAAATTCAAGATATCAGGGTGAAGGTTGCACTTATAAAGTCAGCATACATCTGTCTGTAAGACATCTGTGTAAACATTTCTTCCTATTTTTGAATCATGACATTTTAATAATGTCTGCTTCTTGATCTGTGGAATCCAAATTCTTCACTAATTAAATTCTACTGCACTTTGCAGAGTTATCCCAGGGGCCAACTTTCTCCTTGTTGTTCTAGGCTGCATATAAAAATTTCCTTAAGTAATTCTCCTACTGCAGCTACTATTACCACTGTTACCATTACTACAAACGACACTCTTCTAGCTGCTTTAAGGTACACTGCAGATCTTCCAAAATGAATGTTCAAAAAGACCTTGCCAAGAGATGTGGTGTTGTGAAGTTTTAATACTCTAGGGATGGTAATGAAATGGTTTGCTGATGAATAATAAGAAAGGAATGAGTGTATAAGGTGTTCTCTAAAAGGTAGTTCTCTAAAATGTTCAGATAAATTAACTAAAGGTTTTAAACGGGGAAGAAAAAAAAAAGGGCAGTAAATCCCTGAACAGAGTCTCTCATACAGAATTAAATTGGATGTAATTCACTTTTGATTAGTCATAAGAAATTAAGGTCATGCCTTTTCCATAATTTGTCAAAACTTTCAGAACACTTAAGGCCCAAATGGGAAATCTTCCTGGTTGAGTGCTGAGCCAGTCAGTAAAATCCCTTTGATGAAGCACATTTTAGTACTCATCTTAATGCTGTGAAATGGTAACATGGAGAAAAATTCCCTTGATTGTAAACCATTAAAGCAAAGTTGAAGACCGTATCTGGTCCCTGGGTAGCTCTATCCTTTACCATCACCCTAAAGAAAGAGCAGGATCTTGAAAGATGTACTGCTAGTAATATGCAGAAGATACAACTTTTATAAATGTTTGTCTTGTCTGTCCTTCAGCACTCATTGCCCTTTTTGATAACAGTTTTCACCACACTGTACAAATGTTTTTATGGATAAAAAGCCTTTAGCATGTTGTTCATTTTCTAGTTCTAAATGCAGACCTGAGGTATTTTAGTCATCATATTTTTTAAAAATGCTACTGTATATTAGAAGTATTGGTCAGATCACTGATCTGTTTGTCTCTTAAGAAGCTGTGGCAAACATGCTGAAGAATCAGAGTATCAGAGTATACAGAAGTCTTTCAGTTTATAGGCATTTTATATTTAGACAAGAAGACTAAGCAGAATGGGTAGAAGAAAATTGATCAATTAACTTCCAAAGAAAAATACAGGAGAAAGAATAGAATTTTCAGCAATCCTTTCTCCTCATTTCTCCATGTGCTTTTTAGAGTGATCTCTAGAAGACTGAGATTTGAGACCCCTGAGAAATTTTGTGAAGGATGGAAGTGAAAAAGAATCAATCTTGCATAATCAATTGGAAGGAAAGCCTTACAGAACTAATGATTATTAAATGCAAAGAGACTCCAGTGAGAATCAAATCCTTTCCCTTTTCCTGTGATCCAGGTTCATAGAAGCTGCCGAAGCATTTGGAAAGTCTTGAGTAGTTGATTTTTTACAAAAAGCATTTAACTCTTGGATTTTGTAAAAGATTTCCTTGAGAAGTTGTATTTCTGCTAGAAGGATCTCTTTAACCATCAGTCCTCACCTTTCCATGAAGTATGTACTTAATCATGAAATTTTGCATTTAATAAATTTCCTGTGTAGAATTTCAAAGAACATATCATGACACAGTCATGCTGTAGGTCTGTATTCTGAATAAACAGGGTAGATTATGAAACGCTTAAGTATGTTAAGTATGTTTAAACTGGAGGAAGAGATGAACAATAGCTAAATAAAATATATTACTTCTCACATAAAACCACATAGCATTGGTGTGGTAACATAAAAAAAAATTAGTTAAGAGAGGATATTATATCTATTGTAATGCTGTTAATTTCCGGCATAGGCAAAAATTTATTATCTTGCAACAAGAGTATATTCTGGCCTCATAGCTTAAAAAAAGTCCGTGACCCTCTCTGTAATGTATTAGATGAAATGTAAGAGCATTGCAAACATAATAACTGCAATATCCCAGCTTCAGCTGCTTGGTAAATTTTCTAAAATATGCATATTTTCGCAGGATATATAGACATTTTTATGTTAGAACATTGCAGTTAATGGTATTGCACCCTGAGATCAAGAGCGCAGGAGTTACGGCATTATTAATGCCACAGTGCAAATTAATTGAGGTGGAATAAATATCTTAATAGATTTAGGATAGTTAATGCAAGAATTGGCATGAAGCCTGCATTTTCTCTTTGCAGAACTGTAATTATGGGTCTGCTTTTCTCTTCTTCTCCTCTAAATTTAATCTCATGCTGTAGCATTCTGACACTTGAGGCATTCATAAATCCTATGAATTCATCAGCAATCTGAGTAATGGTAAAAGATTTCAAGGACTTCAGTACTACAGATTTTATAAAAGATCTTCCTTTCAAGGAATTACAAGTAGATATAATCCCTGTATGAATAATGGTAACAGCAAAGGCTGTTAAATGGTATTACAACATGATTGTATGATTGTCTCACAGTTCTTACTGTTTATCAAGCTCAAAGACCACTAGGAATTGCTGAAGTTATTTTCTCTTAAGATATGCTTTTTTTTTTTTTTTCCAGACTAGTTTTATTTGAACAGCTGAATCCTGTTGCCACCGTGTTTCTGCAACACACTTGGAAGAGTTGAGAGATGGGGCTGGGTAAACAAGTCACTGGAAATTGTTAGCTCTTAATAAGAGTATTTCAGAGGTGTTAAGCTAAGTAACTCTGAAATCAGAAAACCAAATTAAAACAGGTGATTTGAGAAGTTGCTAGTGATCTTAGCAGTGCCTCAGATTTTAAGATGGACAGAAGCATAAATATTTTATTAGAATTTAATTCTTTCCTCTGAGTCCACATTATTATTTATGCTAATCTTTTTTTTCCTGTTTTTCTGAGATGTTTCTGACCTGTTCTTCCACTGCTACAAATGCTGAAATGCAGTTTCTCCTTCAAGTTTTCCTATAAAGATGTGTGTCTGATGTCTGTAAGTAGAAAAGGGCAAAGTTTTCTCCCTCACAACATATTATTCATACATATTTTATTCGTACACATTCTACAGAATAAGGAAAAGAAACTGAGAGTAACTTATTTCTCCTATTGTAATTAGATTTTTTTTTCAGCTCTTTGCTTATGATACTTCCCTATGACTCTGCCTTTGTATTCCCTATGGAAAAATGTTCTTTATACAATCAGAGTCAGTTGTTTACACTTTGAAAAGTGAGATCCCAAATGTGGAATTACAGAGATTAGCGTTGCGATCACTGTAGCACAGAAAGCACAATATGATTAAAATCCTCCACTGAGGCACCCAAAGAACTCATATGAACCAGCCTAATGAAAATTAGAAAAACTTTTAGAACAGTTCTCTTCAGACAGTATTAACTCCTGCTCACATAAAAATACTGCCCAAGGAGAGGAAGAGTCCCAGAACATTGCTTCAGGAAAAGTTTTCAGATGGATTTTGTGAAGACTCTTCTCTTGCCTCATGTCATTGCCAGTATCTTTCATCAAAAACTGTGCCTGAGCTCAGCTCAAAGCTCAGATGGTCTTTATGGAATGTAGCTAGGACACTGAGAACAACAAAAAGGATTGTAAGCAGAACACAAAGACTTAAATACTAACTGTAATGTATCTCTGAGCACGCAATTCTTGCTCAGGGCAGCAGCCTGTGTATTAAAATGGGCGAAGGGCCAGTGGTCACACCATCCAACTTTGGAGCTAAGTGAAACAAGGAACACCCACTGTGTTTTTCAATTTGATTTTGGCTGATTTTCTGAAATCTATATTGTTTATTCTGTTTTGATTTTGAAGCATATTTGATCTTCCCCCATTCGCCTTTCAACAGAGAAGTAGTAAAGATGGAGTTTTGGAGCAAATGGTTTTGTGATCTGACCTGACAGCCCTGCTGCATGGTTTTGTTCTCTTTTCCCTTAAGGAAAAAGTAGAATGAAGAACATTTATTACATTCTTACATGTCATTACCTCATTTCTGCATTGAAATTTTACACTGTGAAAAAGTTCCCTTTTTGTAAACACAAAAGAAAATAAAAAACAATGAAAAATTTAAGACTAATTTGGAGGAGGAAGGAACTTGCTTTTTCAATATAGCTTGTCCTCCATCTCATGGTTCATCTACTCATATTTAATTCTTCAGAAATCAAAATGTAGATTCAAGTAGTGAAATGACCTATTTCCTCTACAGCAACTTTTTTTCTTTTGAAACAACTTGTTTCTTTTGAAAAGTTCAACATAATTTCTGACTTCCAAGTTTCATAGGAGGATCGAGTAATCTCATTTTATCCCATCTGCTGACCTTTCAGAGTCCTTCCACCTGATCTTCTCTCCCTCTGGACTTCAAGTTACAAAATTTAGTAGGAGGAAAAATCTCAGGTCTCTCTTTCATGGAGTAATGCTCCCAGAGTGAAATTGTGACTCAATTATAAATCTGAAGAAACTAATTTAAATTTCTGTGTAGTGACATTTCAACTCCAGTATATTTTTAAAAATCATTGAATAAAAATAACTGTAATGATTCTGAAATCTCTGGTGCCCACAAAGAAATTCAGGGAAAAAGAAAAGAGGAAGTGTGAACTTTTATGACTTTAGATTCCTTAATCCTGTTTTATGTCTCCTATTTGGAACAACTGAATTTGTCTGTAAGAGCAATTTTTGCATCATTC